TAACTTACTTCTTTTGTATTACATCTGTATCTCGTCTCTTCCATATCAAAAATCTCGGTCTCAAGGACATGAGGTATATAGGATTACAGTATCCCATAATTATTAATTTACTTCATCCTATTTTATATATACAGTGGTCTCAGAATAACAATACTAATGCTATCAGTATAACAATACTAATCATCAGTATAATTACTGACAAAATTTATGAAATTTTGCATTTGTTCTCTCCATTCTCCTCCATTTTTATAACTTATACTAACTATAATAGTCATATGATGTCTATTATATAGGCATACAGCCATTATATACCTTCTCCCTTTCAATTCTTTAGTCTTAACTTTATAGTAAATGAATGTTTATTGCTCTCCGCCAGTCTTTAGAGTGATGTTTCTCTAACCATTTTCATTGTCTGAAGCTTGTTCTCTAGCAGACTCCTCAGGAAGGGCTCACAGGAGCAATATTCTCTGAGGCCTTGCATGTTCATAATGGTTTATCAGTGTCCTTTATACCTGAAGGTTTTGCTGGTATAACATCTTTGGCTCACATTTTTTTTTCTTTCCGTGATTTATTTGTTATTTTACTTTGTTTTGGCAAAAAGTGTTTCTGTCAAAAAGACTAATGGTACTCTAATGTTATTTCTCTTAAAAGCCACTTGCTATTTTTGTCTAGGTGCCCAAAGGATTTTCTTTTCCTTTAAAATCCAGTAGTTTACCAAGAATATGTCTATGGTATTGACCATTCTGGGCTAACACTGTCAGCTTTATCATGTGTTCTTTCAATAATTTTGAATCTTTTTTTAAATCTTTTTTTTAATTTTTTTTTATTTGAGACAAATGTACTTGAAAAAAATAATAAAATAAATAAAAAAACAATAATTTTGAATCTTTTATTTTGTGAAAGTTTTTTTAAATTACAGTTTAAGTACCTGTTTGGTTCCACAGTCTTCTTATTCTCCCCTTTCAGCTATTTCTATTATTGGTATGTTGGATCTTCTTTGCCTATCATCAATATTTGCCACGTTTTGTCTTATTATCTCTTTCTTCATTTATTTTGATATTAATAATTTTCCTGCCTTAAGTCATTTTATGTTATATTTATCTATTTTTGTGTTCTCATTCAACTTTCATTTCAAAAATCATTTTTTTATATTCACTTTTTTCCTAGGTTCAGTCACCTCATTCCTGAAATGTTTCTTATTTCTTATGTTGTTTAAAGCTTATAGCATAATCTTAATGTCTCTGAGTTTATTTTGATATAGAGAATTAGTGTTCATTTGTTTTGTGGCATGTATTTCTGCCATTTTTTCATTAGCTATAGAGATCCTCTCCTTACTCTTTTTTCAAATAATAACTTAAAGATTTGACAAAAATAATTTCCCCTTTTTTATTTTTATGTAAGATTAGTTTTCCTGAACTTTTTAGAGAAAAACATGGTTCAGGATAGCTCTTCTAAATTCATATAGCTCTCCTTTTGGTTGCCTTCATGTAGTGTTCAAAAACATGTAGTTGCTGTTTGAGCACATGTGCACTCTCTGTCTCTGTCTCTCTGTCTCTCTCTCTGTCTCTCTGTCTCTCTCTCTCTCACACACACTCACACACACACTCTCTCTCTCTTTATTTATTTAATTTCTTTTCCCTTAACCATAACTTCCCCTATCCTGATCATTTTGACTCCATTCCCATACTGAATTTCTCTTTGGCATGGAGACTTGTCCTGGAAGTGAGCCCTAGAGAGTTGGTTTCAAGAGAGTATAAGGGCCAGTCCACAGACCTCTTCCACCCATCAATTACTTCAGTGCTAAAAATCCTTCTTAATTTCAGTTTGCTGTTCTCACATTAACCTGCCAAACTTCCCAGTGAATTTCTGTTGAAAATTTTGGAGTTCTCCTATTCTCAAGTTTGCCAAAAGGCCCCTTGCTTACTTCTGCTTTCTCCTATACAGATGCTGACACTCTGCAGGGTTTGCTGGTACTGTATCCCCGGCCACCTGTGTTTGGGTTTGACAGGGATAACTTTTCACCTAGCTTTATTGTACATCCTATTAACAGGTTTCAGAGTTTGCTATGTGGGGACTGAGAAAGAATAAAACACTTGCTCTTGTCACCACCATCTTCCCAAAATCACTTAAGTGATTTTTAATGGACTTCTGTATCTCGCTTTTTTCTTTCTTTCATATTATTAGATATGAAACTAAAATACCAGGTGGCCTGGTTCAATTTCAATGCCTGGCAACGCCTATGCTTCCCCAGAGACCAAAGACTCCAGACGACCTGGCTTCACATCTAAGCTAAAGAAGGAGCGGCTCTGGCAGGGGCAGCCAAAGTGTTAGCACTGCACCCTCAAAGTATTCACCATCCTCCCTGCGGTCCTCCAGCCTCAGAAAATCGGCCAGGGAAAGGCCAAGCATCACTCTAGGACTCAGACTAGAAAATGAGGCCCAGAGTCTCATCAAGGATCCTGCTGGGCACTGTTGTTCTACGTGCAGCCTGATTCTCTGCCATTCCTCACAATGAAGAGCTGTAAAGGGATTTTAAACCTCACTATTGCTTCATTCCTTTTGTGAAGCTAAAAAATACAACTCAAAAGTGCAACAAGCAAACAAAAGCAAATAAAATATAGAAGCTGAGCCATCAGCCAACAAGGTCCATGGAGTCATCTAAAGGACAGGCAACACAGCTCTATGACTCAATATGGTGGCCACTAGCCACATGTGGCTATTTGAAATGTCCCTAGCACTTTAAGTTTAAAATACACATTGAGTTTGGAAGACTTACTTTGAAAAAAGAACACAAAGTATTTCAAAAATTTTATGTTGCTTACATGTTGAAATGATAATATTTTAAATATACTGAGTTAAATAAAGTGTATTTTTAAAAGTAATTTCACCTCTTTTTTAATGTGACTACTAGAAACTTTAAAATCACACATGTGGCTCAGATTATAGATATCTCAGATGGTGCTGGTCTAGAATGTCAGACAGCCCTGGTTTTAAATCCCAGATAGATAGTGCCGCTTACTGTGTAAAGAGGTACCTTTCCTAAGAATTGACTTGCTCATTAGTATACTGAGAAGAATGAACACACCGAATTTATATGGCTCTTGTGAAAAGTAAATTAGAAAATGCATGTAAAACATTTAGCATAAGACCTAGACATAGTTCAAAAACAGGGGCCGTCTTTGTGTTGCCATCCAGCATTGAGTAAATAATGAGCAGATGAAGGTTTCAGACTTTCTGCCCACACCAGACCAGGGCAAAAAAAATTAAGTCTCCTAGACTCTTAGTTTCTTCATTAGAAAATCGGGAGCTATCATCTGCCTCATCGGGCCGTCCCAACGACTGAATTCTCTCAGTCGACCTGGATTTACGGAGCACCTGCTATGAGAGACGCACTGTTCCAAGCCCTTGGGATAGAACGATGAACAAGTCAGATAAAGTTCCTGTCCTGAGAGAGTTTATAATCCAGTAGAAAAAAAAATACACCATAAAATATTAAATAATGTAATGTTGGGCAATAATAAGAGATATGAAGACAATGAAGCAGGGTAAGGGAAGAGAGAGCAATGGGGAGATGCTACTTATTCAGCCCTGAAAGTCCTCTCCATGGACCAACACTGACCAGAGGCAGAGAGATGGGTGGAGAAGGGCCGTCCGGACTGAGGGAAGAACAAGCGTGGGGCCCTGAGGGGGCAGGGGGATGCCGCTGCGGCTGGGGAAAAGCAGCCGCCGCACAGCAGGAGGGCAAGCAGATCGGGGTGGGGGACTGGAGGCCTGGTAGCAACTCTGGGCCTCATTCTCCTACAAGGGATACACTACCGAGTTCTACACAGCTTTTAAAAGGATCCCTCGGACACACCACAGGAGTAAGTGCATGTGCCAGGTGCAGCTGACCTGGACATAGTAAACATGGGAGCCGATGATGGCAGGGCGATGACAGGGAGCCCAGGGGGCTCCCATAGCGCCCCGGAGGGCACGAAGCCTGTCAGAGCAAGGGGCACAGGAAGAAGTGGGCCTGGCGGGAAACGCTGCCGTGGCTCTGCAGAGAAACGCAGCCCTGGGACAGCTCTCTCAGTCAGGCCCGAGGCCAGCCCCGAGCCAACATGCTCTCTCCACCCATAAAGTGCAAAAGGGAGGAATCAAGTCACGGCAAAGCGCGGCGCCAGCTCTGCTCCTCCTCCAAGGGCCCACTCGCTGGCCAGGCCAGCAGCAGCACACTGGTTAAAGAAAAAGCGAATTTTAAAATAATTGACCATTACAAAAATCGCTCAAATAATACTGTGTATCATTGTTTAAAAAAAAAAAAGTCATTATAAAAATGTACAGATAAGTAAAAATAAGAAAAATTGAATTCCAAGTACCAATAATCCTATAACCAGAAACTATAGTAAATCAAATGTTTGGCTGTGTATATCCCAATATTTAAAGTATGTAAACATAAGCCCTGGCTGGTGTGGCTCAGTGGACTGGGTGCCAGCCTGCAAACCAAAGGGTCACCAGTTCGATTCCCAGTTTGGGTACACATGTGGGTTGTGGGCTGGGTCCCCGGTGGGGGGCGTGTGAGAGGCACACACACATCGACATTTATCTCCCTCTCTTTCTCCGTCCCTTCCCCTCTTTCTAAAAATAAATAAATAAAATCTTTTAAAAAATATGTGTAAATATCAAATACACATCAAATCTAGACTTTTTCTTACACCATTATAAATATATGTGCATTGCACATGCTTTTTAAAAATGGCATTATTCTCTATAAATTGTGCTGCAACCGGCTCCTCTCACTTACTGTTCATATATACTGTGTGCGCCCCCCAAGGTGGTTCATTTCCAGATTGAAAGCATCCTGTTTAACACTGTGTGGTATTTCAAAAAGAATACTTTATTCCACAAGCCCCTGTCGTTGGGTATGTGGCTTATCTCCAACCTGGGCAAAAAGCCTCGAGCAGCCACCCTCTCTAGCACCCGGCCGTGGGCCCGGCACCCCCATCATTTCTGTTACTTACAGCAAACTCCTCGGGAGTCACCTTCAAGACATCGAAGACCACGGCGTCATAGCTCTTGCTGGCGTAGTCGCAGCCCTGGCCCTCCAGAGAGTCTGAGCTGCTGCTGCCCTGTGGGGGACGGGGAGAGAGACGCGCAGCCTGAGCGGTCTGGCTGGCTCCAGACTCATCGCCTCCCGCACCTCAGAACTGAGGGGGCAGGTGACAAACTGTATCGTGATAAAAAGCTTCTGCTGTTTAGTGCTCTGTGCTGTTCCAGGCTAAAGCACTTCATGTGCATAATCTTATTTAATGCTCATAACGACTCTGAGTACACACTATTATTCTCCCCATTTCACAGCTAAGGAAGTAGAGGTAACATTACTTCCCCACAGTATCTCCGCTAGGAAAGTGAAGGCCCAGAAAGCGAACCTGTTCTTGCATCTGATCCCAGGACACATACCCTCCATCGCTTGGCCACCTGCTTCCCGTGGGCTGTGTGGCAGCGAGAGGTGCACCGCACCAAAACAACAGCCCTTCCTCCCTCAGAGAGAACAGGCCTCCACACCGTCAGAGGCCCAAGATCCCCTGTTTTGTGACGTCTTTCAACCATTACCTAGTTTCACCTTCTTTTTCTACGTGAAGTCGCTGCAGGAAATTGTCACACAAAATGTTAAACTACGCCCAAGGCTTACTTCACGCATGGGCCCCCTGGAGTTCCAGGCCTGTGAGCTGATGAGGTGAGAGGTAACCGACGGGCACTGGAGACGCGCGTGAAGGCTGTGTTTAGCAGGGCCCCTTGTCAGGAAGGACACTGTGGGTCCTGCAAGTAAAGGAAGGCTCTCCCGAAAAAGAGCGAGTGAAACCCCCCAGACGTGGCCAGCTGCATGAAACCCAGCACTGCAGGGGTCCCAGAACGTCGAACATGCCTTCTCTCCAATTTTATTTAATTTCATCAAATTCCACTTGGGGGAACCGATCACACTTACCACCCAAAAATTGTGCCCCATTCATAAATGGTTTCATTCGTCTCAATCCATGAAGAGGGGTTTTGTGGTTTCCCTTAGCCTCAGCATTTTGGACTGGGATTTAGAGAATATGCTTTTATTAATTCCTCTTTATTTCACTCTTTCCAAAATGGCTATATCTGGAAAAACTTTGCAATCTTACTGGAAACTAGAATGTTTTTAGGCCAGTGAAGGAAATCAACAGTCAACAACTGAAAATGTGAGGTTAAAAGGAGAAACAGAAACTTAAACCTGTAGATTTTAATAGGACTGTGTCATTGAAAGATTTTACAAATGAGTCTACTATACCAAAAACTCTAAGGAGCCGTGTATCATGGTGGTTAAGAGCGCTGAAGTCAGACAGGCTGGTTAAACGCCAGCCCGCACTAGCTGCTGTCTGACCTCAGGCGAGGGACTTCATTTTACTGTGTCTCAGTCATCGTCTGTAAAATGGCCCGGTTGGAGCCTGCGCCCCAGGGCTGCAGTGTGGGTTATAGAAAATGAAGCTCACAAAACAACTAGCAGAATTCTCTCCCCTCCCCATCGCGAGGTGCTGATTCTAGGGTTGCAGGGGCCTGGGTGGGCTCAGCTATAGCTATTTTAAAAGTTGTACAGGTAACAAGACAGTCTCCCCGGAGGAAAATCTGTGTTAAACTTCTGAAAAATACTATCAACTAATCCCGAAGGCCTCTGGAACTGGCAGTCCCTCCTGCCGCTTAGCCTCACACATACCCTGAGTGGCCAAGGGCCCGCAGTGATGCTACACTTCTGCACCCACCTTCCAGGAAGCAGCCGGATCAGGTGATGGGGCAGATTTTGATCAGGGTGGTGCAGTGTCCTCACGGTTAGGAGCATACGGCGCAAGAGTCACAGAGGCCTGGCTTTGACCAGCTAATTGATTTGAAGCCAGTTTATCCACCTCTCTCTGCCTTAGTTTTCTCATCTGTAAGCTGGGGATACCTCATAGGGCTATTGTGAGGAACAAGTGAGACAATGCCTGTGAGCGGGCAAAAAAAGTGCCTGGTGTATAGCATGAATCATGGGTGTGTATGTGTGTGTAAATGTGTCAGTCACCAAAATTTATTGAACACTTCAATTAGACATGTATTCACTCATTCAATAAAGATTTATCAAGTACTTACCATGTTCTGGATACATATACATGTACATGTGTGTGCATGCATGTGTATATATACACAGAGAGTAGAGAAGAAAGAATTTTTACTATGGATGGAGGATAAATTGTAAATAGAAACAGGAGTCTGGCTCCTCTAGCTACCAAACAGTCCATTCCAGGGACTTCAGGTTTTCTAACTTTCCTGTAATGCCCGTTGCATCTGCCTCAAACACACACTCATACAAGGGTCCTTGTGTAATCAAAAGTTGCCCCAAATGCACTCACTGGTGCTGGGAGGGGGCGATGATGCAGTCACTTTATTTAAACCTATATTGGCGCCATCAGGGAATTGTGAAAGGTGCCCACAGTCTGCTTTTCAGAACCAGAGATCAAAATAGGGAGACTTTTAAAAGGTTTATATGAAATGAATTAGTTCCTGTGAATTTCTAGCTGATTACACAGGATCATTTCAAAGGCTCAGCTCAACTGTGAGGGCCCTGTGAGCTCAGAGCACTGAGCGCGGCCAGTCTGTCACAGGACCGGGCCGCAAGCACTGGGCGCGGTGGCATCCCTGGGCCTCGGGTGACACCCACTCCCCTGCACACCTCTGTTCCAGGACTGAACTTGGAAAGCAAACTCCCAAAGCCCCTGGGAGAAGGCCCGAGCTCAGGCCGCTCTCAGACCACCAGCCCTTAGAGCCATTTCCTACTGAGCAAGGTAAATAAGAACACAGGGCCAGTTGGAATCAATTCTGTCTGACTTCATTCCGGAATGTGTGACTTATAATCAGCAGCGGCTTTTCTTGGGAAAAGTCTGATCTCTTCTTGAGACCAAAATGGAATGTGGCACTTGCTAAGACTGGACTGGGCAGGTATTTGTTTTTCTTTGAAGGGAACGACTTCAGAAAACATACTGATTCTCAGGACTGCCTGCCTCCCAAATCTCACGCCCAGCACGGCCAGGGGCCTCCGGAGCGCCAAGAATGGTGGTATTCAGGGAGCCATGCTGCCTTGCTGGCCGCGACCCACTGGAGCCTGGGTCAGCTGAAAATAACCCCTCCCCCACCCCCACCCCCACGGCCCAGACCCTCACAGTCTCTGTACCTGTGGAGTGGCGGAGGTGACCAACACGCTAGCCATCAGACCATTCCTCTTGTACATAGTCTCCAGGCCACAGGGAGCTTCAGGGCAGCCTCTGCAGGTGACATAACCTGTCTGGAGAAGCCCTGCAAGGCAAAGAAGCTCATAAAAACCAGCCCCAAAAGCCTACTAGATCCCACCCCTGGGGAAAAGTTGTGCCAGACCTAAGCAGGTGACCCTAGGGGAGACTTTTAAAGAAAAGTCATAAGGCCTTCAGGCTAAAGATGGCCCACAGGTGTGGTCTGTTGGAGTGTAAGGTTTGGGTATTTTTTAAATTAATCACCAATGTTTAAAAATACTGTGCCCACATTTGGGCCGGCGACCATCAGCTGGCCGAGCAGGGCGGCCACCTGTCCTGTGCAACGACTTTGCTATGTGCCTGGCCCTGGCAGGACCAGACTTTGTGACCTTTGTTTTAAAAAGAAGGCAGGGGAAGAAGACACTGACTCTACTGTGTCTCCCTGTGCACCAGGCCACTCCATCAACAATAACGTGGGCAACGGCGAACACTCCTGCAGCGCCCACCGTGCGCTGTGCGTTTCCCGCGCCCCACCTAGCCCTCCCAGCAGGCCTCGGGCAGGTCCTGTTGTTACAGCCACACTGCGCACGAGGCATCTGAAGCACAGAGAGTGCAAGTAGCCCGCGCTCTGGTGCCGTTACTCATGCTGCCCTGCCGTCCCATCATCCCTGAGCTCCTACTCAATGTCCTTTCATCCGCTGTCACGCCCGGACCACCCAAAGCCAAACCAGCCGCTCTCGCGCCAGTGTGCACACAGTTCTAGTAGAGCACTTATCCCATTGCTGACCGTCGCAGCACTGTAGCCGCACCAGCCTGTTAGCAGGAGAGTAACGGGGAGAGGAGGGAGAATGCCCCAAGGGGCGGGGGAGGGAAGGCAAAGGGGCCAGTTGGCAGCCAGCTGCAATTACCCATCCAGGCAGCAGATGAGGTAGGTCCTCTGAGCTAGGGCTGCAGCAGGGAAGTCAGGGAGAGGGAGGGAGACTGAAAGACAGTAAGGACAGAGATTCAACAGAAATGGGTCAGGGGTGAGGAAGGACAAGCTGAGGAGGAATGGTTCCTGGCTGGAGGTGTCAGAAGGATGGCAAGGGACAGAGATGCTGTAGCAGATGCGTAGGCAAAGATGATGAATTTAATTTGGGACATGCTGGATCTGTGTGTGGTGCCCATAGGAAAATCAATCCTGGAGGGCCCAAAGGTCACTAGGAAGACGGTCTGGAGGGAGGTGGAAAAGGAGGAAGTGTGGGTCTGATGTTGACTCTGTCTGCACACCCACTACATGCCCTATGGGCAGCCTGAGCTAGACAGACAGACAGAGTGCTTGTTCCCAACCTGAATCCCACCCGTCTCGCCGCTGACAAAAACAGCCTAATTTATGGTCAGCAATTCTCAGACAAGCGATATTTCACATGCTAAGAAAAAACAGAACCAAGCAGAAATGAAGATCCATCCCAGGGCCCAGAGAAACCCCCACTCATGCACCTTCCGTCCCTGGGGCCTGGCCAAGCCCCAGCTCCTTGTCAGGAACCAGACTGCCAGCAAGGAAGCCAGCCTGGGCCAGGCCCCTCTCTGAGAGCCCCTCCCAGCCTCACGGAGGGCCCCTGAAGAAGGGAGCCAAGCCTCCCAGGCCGGACTGGCTGGACCCCAGGGGCCACCTCCTCGTCCTGGGAGCTCAGGACCCTGAGACACCCGTCCCTGCTGGCTAACCACCCTGCGGCGCCATATCCTCAGGAGCCGAGGCTAGCCAAACGCTGCCCGGTGCAGGGACCCGGTCGGGTCAGGGGGAGATGCACAGAGGGAAGCCAAAGGGACAGCCAGGCCTAACAGACAAGGAGCGTGCTGGGCCCGGCCCCCACTACTTTGCATTAAATGCCTCTCTTTCAGTGTCATATAGTTAGATTTCCAAAAGACCTTGACCAAGGCTGCTTCCTAAACACCAAGTTCATGCCAAGCCACCAGAAGCCTGACCCTGGAAATACAGGGGCTCCTCTGAACGGGGGATGGTGGTGCTGTCATCTGCCCTCCGAGGCATCCCTCCGCCAAGCCCCCACGTCACACAGCGCTGCTCAGCCAGGCGTCCCCAACCGTTTTGTGCCATGGGCTCTTTTGGCGTCTGGTGGAACCCCTGGACCCTTTCTCACAGAAATGTTTTCAAATACATAAAATAAAATTACACAGGAAACCGATTACACAGGATTACTCAGGAAACCAATTATATTACAGTCATTAAATTACTTTTAAAACAATTTGTAATGCAGTAGTATATGTACTTCTTCATGTAAGGGAATATATATATATTATTGCATTGAATAACAAGGTCTATTGGTGGTCTGAAAACCACCATGGTTCCAAAACAGTTATGTGCACAAACATCCTGAGATGCCCATAGCTATTACGTGATATGAAAATATCTGTGATTTTTATTAGTGACAGGGTCCCAGATACTATTAATGTTACTGTGATTCACTGTCTATATTAGTAACGGAGAGAAATTCTCCATTTCAGTTAGAAGTTTGCGAAAATAAAGATGTCATTTTTTTCCCATTCAGATTCAGAAATGCCTGGTCAAGAACCCCCATTCCAGGCACCAAGGAGACGAAGCGAGCAGGCCCTGGTCCCCCAGAATTTACATTCCAGGGTGGGAGTGAGAAAGTACATGTAAACCAAGAAGATAATTTCAGATCATGAGAAATGCCTGAAAAAAAATGAGAGAGCGCGGAATACAGTATTTGCCAGGGTGGTCAAGGAAGGGCTCTGCGGATGTGCTGTTTGACTGAACCAGACGAAGGAGGCAGCCAGAGATAGGGCTGTTCTGTGCGGAGGGCACCGCGAGCACGAAGGCATGGAGGTGCACATGAGCTGAGCGGCTCCGTGATGGAGGCAGATGGTCGTGGCTGGAGTTCAGAGGGCGGGAGGCAGGGGCCCAGGCAGGAGCGGCCTTGCAGCCGCGGCAAGCAGTTTGGGTTCTATCTGGAGTACACCAGAGGGTCCCGAGCACAGGGAGACCGCGGTGGCTGCTGTGTGGAACTGGGTTGCAGAGCCAAAAAACAAAACAAAAACAAAGACACAGGAACAGTGATGCCAGGAGTGGGTGTGGGATGGGGATGGCCTTGACTGCTGGCCGCAGGGCGGGGCGCATGGATTGGGAGGGGCTGCAGGTGAAACAGGTGAGACCTGCTGATGGACTGCTTGTGAGGGGAGAGGAAAGGGGGGCGACCTGAGGCTGTCCTGACTAGGTAGGTGGTGACCTAACAGCCACTTGCTGATCAGCAGTTCATTCGTTCATACACTCCACACCCATCCACCCAGAGAGCTGGTGGACCAGTTCGGGGTCCAGTGTCTGAGGCAGCCCTGCCCTCCGGGATCCCGCAGGGGTGCGAGGGGAATCCAGTAAGGACACACGCTGCCACAAATCACAGGTTCTCCATGAGGGGAGTCAAAGAAGACATCGCTGAGAAGAGTGTAGAGCAGGGTCTTGAAGGATGAGCGGGAGTGTTTCAAGGAAAGGGCAGAGGGTGGGGAGGGCAGTCTGAGCGTGCGTGGAAGCGCGGGGGTGTGAAAAGACATCCGAGATGCCAGTGTGCCAGGGGCACAAGGGCCAAGTGGGCTGCCCCGCCCACTCTACCTCAGCCCTGTGTGCGTCTCAGAGCAGCACAGGCACTGGGGACGCGGCGGCAAATAGGCCAGGCTCAGGGTTTGTTCTAACAGGGGGCCCTGGCACCACACTCAAGGCAACAGCACCTCGCCCCCTGGTCGCTCCCTCACCCGTTCAGCAAACACAGTGAAACTCTTCCTAAGCCCTGAGCTGCACAGAGGGGTCAGGCCGGCCCTTGGCCTTGAGGAGCTTACACGCGGCTTGACCGTCACTGCCATCCTGACACTTTGGTGGACACTTTGTTTCAGGCTCTGGCTAAGGATTTACACGCTTTAAAAAAAAAAAAACAAATGGGGAAACGGGCGCTCAGAGGGAAATCACACTGTAACTTGGGAATCCTTTTTTACCTACCTGCACTGACATTTATTCCCTGCTACATTGGAGGCAGCCTAGCCTACGAGAACAGCACAAGCTTTTTTGTCTTAGGTTGGCGACTAACCTGGACACACCAAAACCCCATCTTCCACCCTGCCTCTGCCTCTCCCACACCACCCACGCGCGCGCACACACACACACCCCCCACCTCCCCCCCCCCCCGCCTCTCTCTCTCTCCCTCCCCTCTCTCTCGCTAATGTGTTCTTGGAAACCAAAACACTGCAGGAGAAAAAGCGATTCTCATGATGTAACTTCGCAAGCACGTGGCAGTTGTATCAGGACCACAGAACAATCCCACGTCTCTTGTTTCTGTATGACAGAGTCTGGTCTGGTGTGTGTGGGTTCCCGAGGAGGGGAAGGAAAATCCCAAACGCAACACTGGTTTCCTTCCAAACTCAGAACTCTGCTTCAGAGTTTCAGGTTCAGGAAACCAAGAAAATAACATGAGACAGTCTGGTGCAGACCACTGTTGAGAAGGCAGAATAACCACTTTTTCCTAAGCTTATGGACATTGTTTCAAAGAAAATACACACATCCAGGAATGTTCAATTACAAGAGAGTGATCTTTTCCAAATGTTCAGACAAGTATGCAAATGAACGCCAAGCCCGGTTCGGAGCCCGCTTCCCTGGCGTGGGGCGAGCTGCCCTCCAGACACGGTCGAAGGTTGCTCCACCTTCCCGTGTCACACAGAAGCTGTGACAAACAAAATAGGACGGAAACAAAGAGGGTTTCTGGCCACAACCCCTCTGCCAATTTTCGGTCCACTTCAGGAGCAACACACACACACACCACACCCCCCGACTCCCCGAACCACAGGTGCAGGATTGGACTCTGTATTGCCAAAAAGGTCTCCCCAGGGCAGCCATCCCTCTGGGGCTAGACCACCTGCCAGGAGCTGGGGAGGGCCGGCCTTGTGCGGGCTGGCACTGCCATTACCTCTACCTCCTCCTGACCCTCTCCAAACCAGCCCAAGCTCTTCTCCTGGCCAGCAGCAGTGTCGGACAGCTTTCAAAGAGAGGCCTGGCCACGTAAGCACGTC